GCCAACCTGTCGTCCACCAGGACACCCAGGTCCCTCTCCACAGAGCTCCTCTCCAGCAGGTCATCCCCCATCCTGTACCGGTGCATGGAATTATTCCTCCCTAGGTGCAAGACTCTACACTTGCTTTTGTTAAACCTCACCTGGTTTCTTACTGCCCAGCTCTCCAGCCTGTCCAGCTCTCGCTGAATGGCAGCACAGCCTTCAGGCGTGTCAGCCAATCCTCCCAACTTCGTATCATCAGCAAACTTGCTGAGGGTGGCCACTATTCCCTCATTGAGGACATTGATGAAGATGTTGAACAAGACAGACCCAGCACCGACCCCCGGGGAACACCGCTGGTTACAGGTCTGCAACCGGACTCTGCAAACACTTTGGATCTCCATCCATTGGTTTGGGGTACTGGGGTACTGGGACATGGGGTCACACTGGATCTCCATCCATTGGATTGGGGACATGGGGACATTGGGGTCACACTGGATCTCCATCCATTGGTTTGGGGACACTGGGGACATGGCGTCGGGTTGGATTCTCCATCCATTGGACTGGGGACATTGGGGACATTGGGTCATTTTGGGTTTCCATCCATTGGTTTGGGAACATGGGGTCACGTTGGATCTCCATCCATTGGTTTGGGGACACTGGGGACATTGGGGACATGGGGTCAAGTTGGATCTCCATCCATTGGTTTGGGGACATTGAGAGCAATGGGGACAAAGGGGACACTGGGGTCATGGGGTCGTGTTGGATCTCCATTCCTGGTGTTGGGGACATCGGGGACATCGGGGACAGATGTGACATTGAGGACACGCAGTCGTGTTGGGTCTCCATTTATTGCGTTGGGGACAAAAGGGGACACAGGGGACATGGGTTTCCCGATGGTTTTCAGTCCTTGGTGTGGGTGACATCGGGGACACGCGGTGTGGCACCGTCCCACATCCCTTGGGGACATTGGGGACGTCGAGCCGTGGGGCATCTCCGCATCATCCGAGGTGTTGGGGGGGGGTTTCAGGGGCGGGGGGAAGGGGGCATCATGATGGCTGGGGTCGGGGATGTCGGGGACATCAGGGACATTGGGGACACTGGGGGGGCGGGTGTTGGGGACATTGGGGGACGCTGAGCCACAACACGTCTCAGTCCCTCAGGCTGGGGACATTGGGGACATCTCTGGGTCCCCGGGGTTGGGGACATTGAGTCACGACGTCCCCAACCTTTTGAGGTGCCACACATTTATGGGGGAGCTCTGCCAAAAACGCAGAGCCTGGAGTTGGGGGGGGGTTGGGGGAGAGGGGGGGGGGGACACGAGGACGGTGACAAAGGGACGAGGACGGTGACGAGGGATGGGGACACTCCTGGGGGGGGACAATGGGACAATCGTCCCCCAATTACCTTAGAGACTCGTTACGAGTTAAATTAGCACGAAAGGCCCCGGGGGGGGCGCGGGTTGGGGGCGGCCGGGGCCGGGGGGACGATGGCACCAGGCCGGGGTGACAATGACAATATGCCATACTGGGGGCAAGTCGCGTCACAGACTTAGTTCAGAACGACGGGGCGCGCTGGCTTCCGGCTGTGGGGGAGGAATAAAGGGTGTTAGGGACCCCCGGAGAAAACCCCAAAGTCATCAGACCCCAAAGATCCCAGAGACCCAAAGTGGGGACCCCATTGTCACCCACTGCCACGGTGCCACCCAGGACCCCGCGGTGACCCAACTGTGCCATCCCATATTGTGCACCCACCTGTCACCCATGGGAGCCCACTGTGGGGGTGTCACCCAGGACCCCAAAGTCGCCAGTGACCCGAATGGGAACACCATATGGGGGACCCCATTGTCACCCACCACGTCGGTGTCACCCAGGACCCCCTGTCTTGACCCCAATGACCCAACGGTGCCATCCCATATGAGGGACCCCATTGTCACCCACCATGGAGGTGTCACCCGGGACCCCATATGCCCCCCCAAAGTCCCCAATGTCCCAAATGTCCCAGACCAGGAACCCAACTGTCACCCATAGGAACCTACATGCAGATGCCACCCCATAGCATCCTCCCCACCCCATGGCATCCTCCCCACCCCATAGCAGCATCCTCCCCCCACCCCATAGCATCCCCCTCCCCCTACCTTGGCGGAAGGCGTCCTGGAGGCGGCTCTGGGGGAGTTGATACAACTCAGCGAAGGGGTCGCGGGGCGACCGGGGTTGTGGGGGTGGGCGCGGGCTGGGGACCCCATTGGGGTGCCTGGGTCCCCCCCCTGTAGAGGTGGTGACGGCGGCAGCCGCCAAACCCCGCAGCAGACGACGCAGAGCAGTGGGGCCGGGGGGGGCCGACGTCGGCGGCGGTGACGTTTCGGGGGTGAGAAGAGATCCGGGGGTCCCTCCTGTGACCCCCCCGGGGCTTTCGGGACTTGGTGGCAGTTTTTCAGGGACGGCTTCGGGGGGCTCCGGGGGTCCGAAGGCGAAGGGCGGTGCTTGCCGGGGGGTGTAGGGAGGCGTCCAGGTTTCGGTTGCTGCCCCCCCTGGCACATCGGGGGCCAAACGGGTGCCCACAGCCAAACCCATGCCGATGTTGGCCCCCAAGGCCAGCCCCACGGCGGGACCCACGGCGTTGGGTCTGATGGCACCCAGCCCGACGCCGGATCCGGCACCGGCCACGATGTTCGCTCCGACGCCGGTGCTGATGGCGGGTGGAAGGGCAGAGTCAGCGTTGGCTCCGAGGCCGAGTCCAACGCTGGTGCTGACGTCGGTTCTGAGTCCAACGTTGGCTCCGACGGCGAAGCCGAGGGCGGATCCGATGCCGGCAGCACCGCCGGCTCCAACTCCAGCACCGACGGCGAGCCCAACGCCGGCGCCGATGTCCGGTCCTGGTGCAGAGCTGTTGGCTCCAACGTTGGCTCCGAGACCCAATGCAACACCGGGTCCAAGAGCGGAGCCAACACCGGTGCTGAGGTTGGCTCCAACAGCAGCTCTGGCGCTGGCACCCACAGCTGATGGGAGGGGAGCAGCGCTGTTGGCTGCAGCGCCGAGTCCAATGGCAACATCGACCTCAGAGCCAAGGGTAGAACCAACGTTGGCACCAACGCCGGCTCCCATGGCAAGTCCAGCACCAGATCCAAGGGTGGAGCCTACGTTGGCTGCAACGCCGGCTCCCATGGCAAGTCCAGCACCAGATCCAAGAGTAGAATCAACGTTGGCACCAACGCCGGCTCCAACAGCGAGTCCAACACCAGATCCAAGAGAAGAGCCAACATTGGCACTGACGCCGGCTCCCATGGCAAGTCCAACACCGGATCCAAGAGTAGAACCAATGTTGGCACCAACACCAGCTCCAACAGCAAGTCCAGATCCAAGAGTAGAGCCAACATTGGCACCAACGCCGGATCCCATGGCAAGTCCAACACCGGATCCAAGAGTAGAACCAGCACTGGCACCAACACTGGATCCCATGGCAAGTCCAGATCCAAGAGTAGAGCCAACATTGGCACCAGCGCCAGCTCCAACAGCAAGTCCAGATCCAAGAGTAGAGCCAACATTGGCACTGACACCGGCTCCGATGCCAAGTCCAGATCCATGTGTAGAGACAACGCTGGCACCGACGCCGGCTCCAACAGCAAGGCCAACGCCGGATCCAAGAGTAGAGCCAACGCTGGCACCGACGCCGGCTCCAATGGCAAGGCCGACGCCAGGTCCGACACCAGATCCGAGAGCAGAGCTGACATTGGTTCCGAGAGCAGCTCCAAGGCCAAGTCCAACCGTAGATCCAAGAGTAGAGGCGGCATTGGTTCCGATGTTGGCTCCAAGGCTGAGTCCGACGCTGGTTCCAACGCTGGCACCCACAGTGAGTCCAACGCCGGCGCTGAGGTCGGTTGGAAGAGCAGAACCAACGGCCCCAATGCCGAGCCCAACACTGGCTCTGACGCCACTGCCGAGCCCAGATCCGATGTTGGCACCGATGTCGAGAGCCACGCCGGCTCCAAGCCCGTGGGCAGCGTCTGCTCCGGTGTTGGTTTGGAGGCCAGCTGCCATGCCATCCGCAGCACCGGGCCCGAGGGCTGCTGCAATGTCAGCCCCAAGAGAGGGGCCAACGCCGGGGCTGCCGCCTGCCGCCACGCCAAGGCCGACGTCGACTCTGATGCCGGCGCTGATGTCAGCACCAAGGCCGTGTCCGACACCGTCTTCAAGACCACGGCCAACGTCCATCCCAACGCCGGGCTCAGCATTGGCCCCAAGGCCGATCCCAAGGCCGTGTCCCACGCCGGATCCAAGAGAAGGGTCAACGTTGGCCGCGGCGCCGTGTTCCATGGCGGCTCCGAGCCCAGATCCCACGTTTGTTCTGAGTCCATGTCCAACACCGGCTCCAATGCCGGGTCCAACGTTGGCTGTGGCGTTGGCTCCGTGTCCGATGTCAGCTCCAACTCCGACCCCAAGGCCAAGAGCAACGCTGGCTCCACCACTGGCTCCAAGCTCGGCTCCCAGCATGAGATCAACTCCAGATCCAACACCGGGGCCAACGTCAAGACCAGCGCCGACGCCGAGATCCCCACCGGCTCCGATGTCTGCCCCAGGGAAGTCAAACCCAGGACCAAAGGAATCCGGGGGTCCTGGTGGGGCTTCAGCTGCCAGTTGCTGCCGCAGACACCAGGCTTCGGCCTCACTGTGGGAGAAATCGGTCATCAGTAGCGCACACAGATAATGGGGTCTGCTGTGGGGGCACCTTTGGGTGCTGCACTCACCTGATGATGAAGTTGTGGGCAAGTAGGGCCGGGCCCTCAGGGCGCAGGCGGGTGTAGACCCAGGTCCAGCCCAGGCCGTCCTTGCGCTGCAGCCTCGTCACCAACTCCCCCCTTGCCTCTCCTCCTGCACCCGCTGTGGGGAGAAAAGGGGACATCAGTGGGGCGGGGGTGGGATGGCAGGGATGGGGACGGGGGAAGCTGTGGGGTCAGGGAGGCAGAAGGCAGTGGAGATATGGGGTGGGGGAACCCCGTTTGGGGTTTGGGGATGTCATACGAGGTGTCATGGGGGTGTGGGACAGCGGAACTCCAAAGGAGGTGTGGGGCATGGGAGGACAGTCAGAGTGACCCCGAGAGGTCCAGAGGACACTCAAGGGGATGGAGGGCACCCAAGGGACACTGGAGGGCATGGAGCTTTGAGTGGGGGGGGGTGGCTTGGGACACCCAGGAACAGGGGGGCACTCACCGAGGCGGAGGTGCTGGCGGGCGACGTGTCCCAGGTCCTCGGGGTGCAGCAGTCGATACCAGGAGCGCCCCAGGAGCTCTGCACGAGCATAGCCCAGGTGGATCTGCACACTGCAGGATGACATGGGGACGAGTCAACCCCCCTGGAACGTTTAGGATCCCCCCCCCCCCTCCAAGATGTTTGGGATCCCCCCAGGACACCCGGATCCCCCCTTCTCAGGTTCCCTCCACAGAAATCGGGGTCCCTTTTTGCACGCTCCCGTGTTGTCCCTCCCCGAGGGATGGTTGGGTGTCCCATTGCATATTTCTGTCTGTGCACGTCTGGAACCTTTCTTGGCCATCTACCTCCCCCAGTTCCACACCCCCCTCCCCCCAAAGAAACCTGGGATCCCGGAAGTGACCGCTGGGATGCGGTGATCCTCACCTATCAGAGATGTCGAGCAGAGCGAGATCCCGTGCATGGCGGCTCTCGAAGGCGGGCAGCAACAAAGAGTCAGCGCAGGGCCAGGGCGGGGGGTCCAGGGGGGCACAAAAAGCCACAAAAAGCCCCGGGAGTGCCCCGGGGGGTCCGGGGGGGGCCTGGAAGCGACCCCGCAGCAGCACCAGCTTCCGTCCGGCGCTGGGCCGGCGCGACGCTCGTGAGGTGGTGAAGCGGCAGCGGAAGAGGCGCTCTGAGGGGGGGGATGATGGGGTGGTTGGCACCAGTGGTCCCTACAGCATCTGTCTGTCCATCCTTCCAACCATTCATCCAACCACCGAACCAATCAATCTCTCATCAGACCAGGCATTCGTCCACCCAGCTGTCCATTGAACCAACCAACCGTCCACCCAAACGTCCATCCAGCCAAACATCCCTCCATCCATCCACCCAACCATCCACCCAACCATCCACCCAATTAACTAACCATCCCTTCATTCACCCAACCACCCACTGAACCAACCATTTATCCACACATCAAGCCATCTCCCCATCCATTCATCCCTCCATCCATCCGCCCACCCGCTCACCCATCCTCCCATCTGTCCACTGAACCACCCACCCGTCCATCCAAGCATCCATTAAACCAAACAACAATCCATCCATCAGAACAACCATCTCTCCATCCACCCGAGCACCCACCGAACCAACCATTTCTCCACACATCCAACCATCTCTTCAACCATTCAGCCATCTATCCATTCATCCATCCATCCGTCCGTCCATCCATCCATCCATCCATCCATCCATCCATCCAAACATCCATCCATCCATCCGTCCATCCATCCATCCATCCAAACATCCATCCGTCCATCCGTCCATCCATCCATCCATCCGTCCATCCAACCATTCATCCATCCATCCATCCATCCATCGAATCATCCAACCCTCCACTGAACCAACCAACCATCCCTTCATTCCCCCAACCATCCCTCCATCCAACGATCTCTCCATCCACTCAACCACCCCTCCATTCTCCCACCCACCCATCTCCCAACCGTCCATTCACTGAACCAACCATCCCTCCATCCACCCTCCCAACCACCCTTTAGCCCAACAAACCTTCCACCCAACTATCAATTGAACCGACCTACCGTCCATCCATCCTTCCATCCCTCCATCCCTCCATCCAACCAACCACCCATCGAACGGGTCAACCGTCTCTTCATCTCCTCAACCACTCATCAAACCACCTCTCCATCCACCCAACCATTCACTCCGTCCATCCACCCCTCCACCCACGCCAACTCCCTCAACCCCCTCTCCCAATCTATCCCCCCTCAACACCTCGAAGCCCACCTACCTGGCTGGGGGGCTCCAGGCAGGGCCAACTGGTGCCGCACCAGGGGGTGGTCAGCCGGATCCAGCAGGTCATAAATGCTGTCACCCTGTGCCACCAGATCCACCTGTTTTGAGGGGGAAAGCGGGGGATCAGCGCCCTGCCCAGTCTCCTTCTCCCCCCGTCTCCGTGTTCCCACGTCCCCGTGCCCACCATGGAGTGCCCCAGGTGCTGCGCGACGTTGTCGGTGACTCCGACCAACTTCCCCTCGTGGGTGACAGCCAACAGGAACCCAGGCAGCGACGCCACCAGATCGGCCAACTCCGGCCCCCCCAACAGCTCCATGGGTGCTCCCCGCGCCGGACCTGCGTGTGGACACGTGTCAGCACCCACCGCGTCCCCCACCACTCGCACTGACCCACAGAAGCGCCCGCTCCCTGCTCCTACTCCCGTCCTATCACTTCCCAATCAATCCCAGCTTTCCCCTGCTGTTCCTCCGCGTCTCAGTTCCACGGTTCTTGTTTCCAATCCCCGCTCCTGTTCCCTACCCCTGGGCTCAGTCCTTGCCCCAGTCCTTGACCCCGTCCCTTTCACAGTGTCCCCAAATCTCCCAGTGCCCCCGTCCCTCTCCTGTGTCCCCACCTCTCCCCCGCCGCTGCTCGCGGTGCTGAACCCGTTGCAGCGCCCGGTAATCCGACCCCTCACCCTCATCCCCATCCCGGTTTCCCATCCCGGTTTCCCATCCCATCCCAGTTCCTCATCCCAGTTCCCCATCCCAGTTTCCCATTCCACCCCAGTCCCTCATCGCTGCTGTCCGTGGTGCTGAACAATCTACACAGACCGTTCCCGTTCGCTATCCATGGTACTGAAACCCGTTACAGCGCCCGGTAATCCCATCCCAGTTCCCCATCCCGGTATCCCATCCCAGTACCCTATCCCAGTATCTCATCTCGGTACCCCATTCTTTCACCCTATGCCATCCCAGTTCCCTATTCCATCCCCGTACCCCCCCCTCCCCAGTTCCCGATCCCATTCCCCCATCTCTGCCGCTGTCCGTGGTGCTCAACCCTCTGCACCACCGGTTCCCGTTGGCTGTCCATTGTTCTGAACCCGTTAAAGCGCCCGGTAATCCCGTATCCCATCCCAGTCCCCCATCCTGGTACCCTATCCAATCCCAGTCCCCCATGCCATCCCAGTTGCCGATCCCATCCCAGTCCCCTATCGCTGCCGCTATCCGTGGTGCTGAACCCGTTACAGCGCCCGGTAATTCAATCCCGGTTCCCCATCCCAGTGCCCCATTCCCTCTCAGTTCCCTACCCCTGCCGCTGTCCGTGGTGCGAAACCAGTAACAACTCCCGGTAATCTCATCCTGGTAACCCATCCCAGATCCCGAACCCATTCCCCCATCGCTGTCGCTGTCCGCGGTGATGAACTCGTTACATCTCCCATCTCAATTCCTCGTCTCAGTCCCTCATTCCATCCCAGTTCCCTATCCCAGTGCCCGATCCCATCTCTGTATCCCATCCCAGTTCAACATTGCTGCCGCTGTCAGCGGTGCTGAACCTGTAACAGTTCCCGTAAATCCCATCCCAGTTCCCATCCCGGTATCCCATCCGAGTTCCCCATCCCAGTTCCCCATCCTGGCACTCCATCCCATCCCAGTTCCCCGATCCCATCCCAGTTCCCCGATCCCAGTTCCGACCCCATTTCCAATCGCTGCCGCTGTCCATGGTGCTGAACCCCGTGTTCCCTCCGTCCCTTTCGCTGTCCATGGTGCTGAACCCCCCGCTCCTCCGTCCCGTTCGCTGTCCGTGGTGCTGAAACCCTCACTGTTCCCACTTCGTTCACTGTCCATGGTGCTGAACCCCTCACTCATTCGTCCCGTTCGCTGTCCGTGGTGCTGAAACCCTCACTGCTCCCACCCCGTTCTCTGTCCGTGGTGCTGAAACCCTTACCCCTCCTATCCCGTTCGCTGTCCGCTGTGCTGCTCCCGTCCCCCCGACCCCCATTCCCCACCCGGACCCCCAGCCAAACATCCTCTCTCCCCACACTCACCGGGCCGCAGACACGCTCCTTTCCTCGTGTAGATGCAGGCGAGGGCCATGACGTGCAGGTAGGAGAGCCGCGGGCGGTCGCCGTCCGGCAGCGGGAGGAGATCGCGGAGGGCGCGGATTTCAGCGTTGATTTGGTCGCGCCGCGCCTTGGAGGCGCCTTTGGTGGAGCGGAGCATCCTCGCGCCGCGCCGCGCATCCCGAGCCCCGCTTATATGGCTCCCGGGCCTGCCGACGTCACCGTGACGTCACCCGCGGGGAGGGGGGGGGGAGCGTCAGTGCTGACGTCATCACGCGCAC